GTGCTTGCCTCGCCTTCAAACTCGTCGTCATATTCAATGTCCGACATGACCAACTAACTTCACCGCGGCGGTTCAAGATCCCCTGAGTATCCGGATATCACTGGACAACCGGAGATCTGCCGAACACCTCGGGTACGCCCCAGGCAGCGCATTGTCGTGGAAACAGCCCTCTCACAAGATTCACAGCAGTGTCGAACACGATGCGCATGTCGGCATGAGGGCGGCACCGCGTTGACGTGCGTGGAAACGCAGAACAGTATATCAACGTGTACTCGCACTTGCTCGTGGCCAATTCGGAGAGACCACTTCGGAGAGACCATTCGACGATTCGTCGTTTTGGCGTTTTCGACGAGATTCGAGTGATTTTCGTCGAATTTTGGCAGAGAAGCCATCAAAACTTTCCAACCAAATAAATACATTTATACAACCATTCAGTGAATTTTTTTTAAATATTCGATTGCTGTTGAGACTGTCGAATTCCACGAGTCGGATTGGCTAGCGAGAATCATTGTGACACGAATACAGCTGGGTCGGCGGCATGAGGGACCCGGACCGCGGCACGGACGACTTGCCGCCGGTCGATAGCCCGACCGATCATGCAAAAGTTGTTTCCAAGTTAATGAAACACTCCAACACGTTGACTCACGTTACGCCAGACGACGACTCGGCGCTTCATCCTGGCCACTTCAAGAGGAAAACCAACAAGTTGCCGACACCGGTTTGGTTGGATGATTCGTTTGAAGCGTCCAAGGGCACGTCCGCGTTGACCCTTCCCGCTCAACTGGCAAAGGAAGTGCATGCTTTTGTCGCTTACACGAACGCTCAAGTGGAAGCGGCGCAAACGACGGTCCAAGACAACCTCACGCGGTTGAATGCATGCTTGGAGAAGCAATGGCCCGACACAAGTTGCCACGCGACGTGCTTTGGGTCATTTGCCTCGGGTCTATGGCTTCCAACGAGTGATGTGGATGTCGTCGTCCACGGTATTCCGTCTGCATCGCCGACGGGCCAGTACACGACGGCCCAAGATGTTCTCGCTGCAATGTTGTCCACCGAACCATGGGTGCGCCATGCGTCGGTGGTTGGGACAAAGGTCATGGTGGTCAAAGTGATACTAAAAAGTTGCGGGCGGCGCATGGACATTGCTGTCGCGACGTCGGATACGCAGCATGGCCTGGCCGCGACCGAGATCGTTCGCGCGGCGGTGACATCGATGCCGCTCTTGAGGCCCCTCGTCCTCGTCGTCAAGACCTTTCTTCGCGAGAAAGGGCTCAACAATGCATTCACGGGTGGTCTCAGCTCGTACGCACTCGTACTCCTGTGTTTGCACTACCTCTTTCACCGCCCCCACGGCCCCAGTTCATCCTGCTCTTGGTCTTCGGCCGACGACGACGACGACGACGACGAACTCAGCAAGGTCCTTCTCGGCTTTCTCGAGTACTATGGAACAGTTTACGACCATTTTCGCACTGGAATTACATGGTTTGTCAATCCTCTGGGCCATCTCGAGTCGGTCGAGTACGAGCGCAAGGTCCGGCCAGGCCACGCCCCCAAGTGCCATCTCGTCCTCGACGACCCCGTCCACCCCGACGACCGCGGCGTCTTCAATGTTGGTGCTGGCGCGTATGCGATGGCCCGCGTCGTGCTGGCGTTCGAAAATGCATTCTACGCGACGACCTTCCATCGCGCGTCCCGATTTACTCCGACGCCGTTGAGTCAGCTCATCCACTGGACTGGACCGCTCTCGTCATCTGCAGTGTAGCCACTCCGTGCCATATAAAACAGACATAGTTGGTCGCAAAAGAGCGGTGGATTTTTCGAGCATCGCGTCGGGATCCTCGGAAGGTTGCATGGATCGAATGTGTGGACGCAGTGGCTCGGCATCAAACATGCTGCGCGTGAAACACAGTTCATGCAGCCGCACCAATAGATTTTGTGAATGTTCATCCTGTAAATCATTTGGCAAGGCTTGCGTGATGAAGAGTCATGCCGGTCTTACAAAGTCGAAGCACGTATTGCTGTCACTTCTGAAGCGAGGGCGGTGGAGGGGGCAAGGCAGCAGCGACGTCGGTGAGGGGCGGGGGCGGCGGGAGCGCGCTAGGGAAGCTGTCGTACTTGTCCAGGATGACCAAGTCCAACGACTCGGCTTTCTCGGTCAAGTTGGCCGACACCGTTTTGTCGTCGATGTGGCCGAGAAACACGTTCGCTTCGATTTGATTGTGGCGGGCTTTGAGCTGGCCGAGTTCCAACGGCTCGTCCGGCACGAGGTAGGCGACGAGATGCTTGAGAACCGAGGACAGCTGCTCGGCAATGATAAACGTCACCCACTTGGTGGTGGAACTCGTCGCCGCCGACGTGACGCTATCCTTCGGGTCGTACGTGAAGAGGAGGATCGAGATGTTGGTCACAACGGCCAAGTGATTCATCATGTTGAGGAAAATCGACCTAAGAAGGCGCCGATTGAGGCTACGAGTCGGTTTGCCACGCAGTAGTCAGAGGACGTACCAAGACCCAATGTCGGTCGCGCGGTGAGGGAACGGGCGGCGGTGCGCCGTGCACAGCTACGCCGCATTGAAATCCTGACGTGGAAGAAGGACGTGAGTGTGTACCTTGAACGCGTCGACGTGGATTTCCAAAATGTTGTTGGCCAGCGCCATGGCCGGGGTCAACGGGAATGCCACGACAAAGAGCGTGACGAACCCGTACTGAATCACCATTTCGTTGTAGTCCTGGAACGCTTCGGACTCTTCATACGGCGCCAGCATGGCCTGCAACTCTTCCTGGGAGCAATGTTCTTGTGCAAGTTTGAGCTTTCGCTTTGTCTCGCCGGCGGACGCGGACTTGGTTGTGTTGCTGGGGTCCCTGTCAGCGTTCCGGTACAAGTTGACCATTCGCGTAGCGACCGGGACAATGACTTCGACGAAGTTGCCGACGAACACTTGCATCCCAAACAGGATGAAGAGCTGGAGGCGCAGTTCGCCGAGACAGTCGTCGTTCACGCACGCGTCGCCCACGTAGTGCTTGACGTACGCAATGTAAAAGAACGACGCGAACGAGTTGCAAAACTGAAACAAAAACACTTTGGTGATCAAGTGGTTTTCAAACTCGACGTCCGTGCGGTGGTTTTCCCAAGCATTCAGGTGGTTGGCGACCCATCGATACACCTACACAGCGCGTGCGTGAGCGACGCGTATCGGCCATCCATCCCCGTACCAAGTTGAGCACCGTAATTTGAATCGAGTTGAGCGCCGACACCCCCACGGCAGCCCACGATTTCATCGTACGTGATTCAAGCTTCGTGCTGAGGTGTTTGAGGTAAAAGAGCCCCGTCAGCGCGATCAAGACGATCAACACCATGATAAACACGACCAAAAACGATGCACGAATGCGCCATCTCGCCCTAGTCGCGAACGAGTGACGATCCGTCGATGGAATGGTGCCAACTGAGGCATTCGTACCTCACGGTGGACTCGGCCCACATCTGCGGCGTGTTGTCGATGGGGTTGAGGCGCCGGACCCCGACAAACTGCGTCCGCGGCGTCGATGCGACATTGAAGTCATCTGTTCCCCACGCGACGTTGTAGATGGCGCTTTTCCGCTTCCACAGCTCCGTGAACAGCGTCGACCACACAACAATCGCGACGGCAAACGCAATCTTGAGGATGCGCGAATGGGTCGTCGTGCACACGTCCAAGACGTAAATCGCCACACCCAGCGCGGCCGGAAGCAGCAGCATCTTGGTGTACAGCTCGAGCCAAACAAAGTACAGGGCAACCTTTTCGCCAAAGTAGTCGCGAATGGCGCCAATGGGCTGCGTGGTCATGCCTTTGTGGAGGGCCCACAACGCCTTGAGGGCGTCCAGCGCCTCGTTGTCGTGCAATGCAAACGCATCTTGCAAGTAACTCGTCGCTTTGAGTGCGTCCAGATTGATGTGCCGATTGATGATGGACGTCGTGAGGCGGATGCGATCGACAGGCCGAAACATGGTCCACATCGACGACTTCTACGGTCGCATCACAGCCACCGCACGGCCCGCGGCGAAACGTACCGTCAGGTACCGGCGGTAGTAGGGTTGGAGCTTCGGGTCGCTCTTGTACGGCGTGTACAGGGAAAAATACGTCCACGGGTCGTTTGAAATGTAGATGAGCCCCGACAGGAATCGCTGCCACAGGCTCGGGGTCACGGCCGGTGCTACGGACGGCAACACATGCGAAGGACGATTCGCACGACGGCGTTGTACCTGGTGGCTGCGCTCTGCCGTCAGCGAGTTCATTGTGACCCCACTTCGTCATCGCCGTGTGCAATTTGATGTGGTGAACGGCCCCGTGGGAAATCAAGAGCGGGTCCATTTCCGGCTCAGGGGAGACGTGGCGGATGCTGCGACGGGATGGCGACGCGAGGGGACCACACGACTGGCCTTGCGAGTCACTATAGACAGCGGCCTGTCATGAATCGTGGACGATGCCATGGCTTACGTCAAGTGCTGTTTCGAGTCGGTCATCGCGGCGGCGCCAACTTCCCGCTCAATGGTTTGCAACTTGGCCGAGTGAACTGCGTCAAACGGTTTGTTGGACGTTTGCAAGCGGTACTGGGTACGCTCGGCTTCGATAGCCAAATCGCCTTCATCAGCCCTCACGGTCATAATGATCTACACGACACACCGCATGCCTCAGCAACGTCATCCATGGCGAGTTGCCTACCCCGTCGCCGAGCTTGTTTTTGAACATCCGCACGGTGAGACCACATGTGAGTTGCAAACGCTTCGCTATGGACCGCACGACCAGCTCACAGAACTTGGTTTCCGTCGTGCCGTCCGCGCTGCCAACGTAGGCGACGTACTCGGCTTTCAGACATGCCATCTTGCGCTCGAGTTCACTTTGAACTGCTTCGTCGTCGGTCCCGAGGTTGATCGCGACTGCGTTAGCGGGGGCTGCGGGATCGATTGGTCCCACGGAGGCGTCTTCAAATGGCCGCCCCGCGTCGTCCAAGTAGCACTTGTCTGTGCGATACACCGCTTTGAGCTCGTTCATGACGGGTTTCTTGCCACGACCGAGCCCCAGCATGCGCTTGACGAACTTGGCTTGGGTGAATCGCTCGGGGTGCTTGACTTCGCCGCCCGTTCGCAGGGCAAACACCATAACGAGGTCAACAGCTGCCGACGCCTGTTGCACGTGGCAATGGCTGTCATGCACAGTTGGAGAGTCCGACATCATATCGATGAACGGCTCAGCGAGCGACGCACGTGGCGGCGCCCCCAACTGTCGAGGGTGCTGCATTGCAAACCGAAGTGGCGAACACCTCGTGCTGCGTTTCAACCGAGGCTATTTTTGGCGGAGCATGTCAACGCCGATAGAGCCCTCCATTCTATTCGTAGGTAACGGCTGGTGCTTAACGCTCAGGCAATGACTGTCCCTGCGCATCCCATCTCATCATGGTATGCACGAGATAGCTTCTGTCCTGCGTTGGTCGTGGCCGCTGTAGGCAGGACCTGCCCTCAATGGAGGCCCAACTTGTTTTATAGAACGACAGATTTTCGTAAAAATACAAAACATTTAGTGATTTTGTTTCAAATCTCATCAATTTTTGAGATTATCCGGATGTGTAGAAACATTCGACCGAACTTGTGGAATCGGTGCGACGATGGAGACGACGACGACGCCGTGGACGCACCTGCTGAGTCGGCTGGACGATCCCCACCGATGGAAACCGCATTCTGACATGAATGCAGTCGTCATGGGATGCCGTTTTTCAGTGGTGAAGAAACCCCCTCGGTTTGGCTTTGTGTGTTGGTGGAGGAGGGCTCCACATGCAACCCTGTTTGTCGACTTGGACGCTGGTACCATCTGCGTGTCCGCTGACTCGACAGGTGAAAGCGACACGATGGACGTTATGGATGTGCACGTCGAGCCAAAAGGGGTGCGGCAGATCGTGCTCTTCCACCATGCTGTGTTTCCGAACACGACCGTGACAACGTTTGACATGGAAACCCCAGCGTACGCGATCGAGTTTATTGCCATGGTGAACCTCATTCACCACATGAAACACATCCAAGCGCAAAAGCCAAAACTCTTGGAAGCGCATCACGACAGCGTGCTCATGGCCCAAATGCAGAACACCATCGAGTACGCCACGGCGATGTGGACGATGGCGCTGTGGAAGGACCTGTTTCCGTACAGTCGTCTCAAGGAAAACCTAGTCGACGCGCTTGCTTCGCTTCGCACCGACATCCAGCAAGCACTCCATCTCCTGGACGCAACGTATCATCAGTTCTACGCCTACGCAAGCGTCACCGAAGTTGAGGGGGATGCCTCGAGTCAGCGGCATTTTCGAGCGTCGTATGTAGGTCTGCTGGTTGCCAAGGTCAGGGCGCTGTATGCCCATCTCGCCCAGTACTGCGCGCCTCCCGTATCGAGCAAGTCACAATCCGCGCCATGAAAGGACTTCCAATATTTCCAAATCCTATTTATCTTGAAACATATTTTCTCGAAACTGCAATATTTTATTCTCACCTAGTGTCTCTTGTCCTTGAACGACATTGATTGGGCAGCAAGGTGGAATGGAATTCACTTGATTGGCCATTTAATTGTTATTTTCCAGAGGTATTCTTCAAATCCTTGTGTATATTGCGCGCGCAGTGCCGTTGCCGTCATGCTGTCCAAGCAGGAAAAGGGGAAGGTGGAGAAGAAGGGGCGGTTCACCATCATCGACCTCCCGCCAGATGAACCAAGTCCACTGACGTCCTTCCGTACTGGTGTGCGTGGCGATCTCATGATGGTGTCGTAATCGAATGGCGGATTGAACAACGGTTTGTAGTTGGTGCCTTTGAGTCCTCAGCGAGGTAGATCCTCTGGCGGCAACTTACGATTCGGTGAAGACGACGACGATGACTCGGTTGCACGTGAACTTGCAAGAAAGACGTATGTTGCCTATATCGTCGGGGGTCTATTATATTGCTCGTGCAAATAGGCGCGTGAAGCAGAAAGGTCGGTTTACCATCATCGACTTGGATCCAAACACCCCATCTCCGGAACGAGGTCTGCGCAAGGTATCGATCTACGGCCTTTCTTCATTCATTCATTGCTCTGACTGTGTGTTCATCCAGGGATTCCGAGATGATGCCCTCATCGACGACGACGGCGACGATGATCTACCTCCGCCACCACCTGCCTTAGAACCCCAACGGACAGGTCTTCGTCCAGTCTCTGTCGGCGACGAAGAAGACAAACCTATCCGCCCTTCATCTCCCACACCTCCTCCAGCGCCTTCTATGGATACACCAACAGTGGCCACATCCATCCCAACAGTGAACCAACCCGCCGCAGGCACCACGTTCAATCCAACAATAGCATCCGACCCCGACAACATTCACAACCCAGCATGCTGCGTGTTTCGGACGCCACTCATGCACTCGCAGGCTGCGTCTTCACCGCCGCCATGCAGATTACACTTCGACCCGACGACATTCTCGACATTACCGCCAGCATCTTTCGTCGCCGTGCCAGTGCAGCAATATCGTGACCACCAAGACATGTTGGCGGCACTACTGGAGCAAAACAAGGACATGCATGTGCTCATCCAAACCCTGCAAGCGCAGCAAGGGAAAATCCTCCAATTCGTCAAGGACATGGCGATCGAAGTTCCTGCGTCGTCGTCGGTCTCAACTCCCTCCCTATAGATGCAAAACGACGGATGTACCAAATAGAAGACGCGATGTTTATCGAATTGATGCGACGTACCTCACGTGGCAGGGTGGGCTGCAAGGACTCCCCCACGACCAACTGGATACGAGATGACGTGGACGTTGGCTTGTCGACAATCTGGTCGTCTTGGAGGCGAACGCGTTGGGAGCCACTGGACACGATCAAAATCTATGCAAAAAGGAGCATCGAAAGTTCCTGCCCACGCATTCTCGTTGGCACTCCAACACACGAACTTACTTGGTTGGCTGTGGGGATCCCTTCCGCCAACTCGATCGCCAACTTCAGATCAATCGCCGATTTGATGTGGGGCTTCCACGGGATGTGAAACCTTCGACGACTCGTCATGCAATACACTCGAAAGGAGCATGCCACTGTTGCAGATTGGGGGCGTTCTGATATGTTTTTCTTCGGCGCCGAAAGTCGTTGCGAACTCGTTTGAATCGCCAAGAAATCTTCGAGCTGCTGCTCCAAAACACGCAACCGCTGTCGCTGCCGGTCGACCACGCTCTGATTCACTCGAACGCGATCGTGTGGGGACAGTTTGTTTCTCGGGCCTTCCGCCGCGTCTGTTTTGGTTGTCAGCAGTGCGACGGACGGACAAAGCACTTGATGTTTGCCCTCGGGTGGTGCAGTGAGTGGTCTCGATTGATTTGGATTGCCATCTGCCCTAGGAAGCGACTTTGTTTGCGTGACCACTTTGGCTATGGCGGGCTCGAGAGTCATCGTCACTGCCGTTGTCGCCGTGGCCGGAGGGGAGGTTTTAGCCGACATCGTTGGTGCCGGGGGCGGCTGGTGCTGCTTGGATTTTGGCGCCTTGTCCAACAAGCACATGAGCAGTCCTTCCGCAAAGCTGGTGCTCGCCTTGGGGCTCTGGATGCCTTCCAGTGCTTTGAGGAATCGCTCGACGTCGACCTGCGCGTCCGTCGTCGTAGTGGCGCCCGTCAATTGGAACTCGTGCAGGATGTGATGCCATTCGAGACTCGTCCATGGGGTCCCCAACGCCATAAGAATTCGTCGAAACACCACGGCTGACACCGTCGCCCCGTTCTGCTGCTGCTGTCGAGTCGCCACGTCTCGAAATGCCCAGTCCACGTATTCGGTGGCAACTTTTCCTCTGCCTTTCCGAACTCGCAAGCTGTACGTTTTGCGGTCGTTGGTGCTCGCACGTTGGTTCGTTGTAAAGTCTGCTTTAGACCGATGCGTTGTTGTGCGTTGGACATAGTCGACGAGCTTTCGAATCGCCTAGAGACGACGACGGGTCAAGGACGGGGGATGGTGGGAATGCCGTACCGTTGTCAGTGCCACATGCGCATGACAAGTGTACGCTTGGGTGTCCACGACGTGTTGCACGTCATTTTCCAGCGGATTGTCTGCACGTCCCAGGGCTAAGAAACGCATTCACGCAACGACCGTACCGTCTAGCTTCAGGGTTTGCAGCACCAATGGCCCCGTGGCCCCGTGAGTTCGGTGGCTCAACGACGTCGCCCACGTCAGCGGGATCGTGGTGATGCGATTGTGGCTCACGTCGAGAAGGCGAAGCGTCCTGTTTAGCACCGTGGGAAGCTACGTAGAAAAAGTCAATGCCGCCATGTTGGCGTCGCCAGTGTGACCTTTGCAATATGGTTCGTGTGGGCGAGCACTGTCTCGAGAGATGGCGCGGTCGCCATTTCTTGTGGAAGCGCCACCAACACGTTCCCCTGCACCGAGAGGTGGACCAAGTTGGCCATGCGAAAGATCGACGACGGCAAGTGCACGAGGCGATTCCGGCGCAAGTTCACCTCCACGCAAGCGACGAGAGTAGAGAAATCCACGTCCTGGATATCGTGGAGGTCGTTGTGGCTCAGATCGCACACTCGCAAAACCTTCAGCGATGTAAACGCAGCGGCAGCGGGCACATGTCGCAGTCTGTTGTGTGCCAGGGTGAATGTCGTGACGGATTCGAGTCGCTGGAGCGACGTCGCCTTGGTCGAATCCGTGGCTGAGGGCGACCTCGTGAGAGAGCTGGCAAATATTCTTCCATCCCAAGTGGACGTACTCTGGAAGATGTTGTCGAGATGGTTGTGATGCCACGTGGCGACAGTCAGCTTGACGAGCTGCGCCACGGTCGACGGTAGCGATGTGAGGCAGTTGCGGTGGCACAAGAGCACCGACAGGTTTGTACAACACGTTCCGAGAGCTTCTGGAAGCGCCGCTAGTCGGTTGTCATGAAGAGTGAGGCTGGTCAGCTTAGGCCAGTGCCGAAACAAGATGTCGGGGACAGAGACGAGGTTGTTCGCGGCCAAGTTGACCTCGTTCACGTCCTTCCAATGCTCCATCACCTTTGTAACACATCTCTCAACTGTCCATGCGCCATACGATATAAAGTCAAGCATACCGCTGGTACGACGGACAATTTATTTCCCGACAAGTTGACATGCTACAAGTGTTCGAGTTAGAGGGGCCCATCCACAAAGGACGAAGAAGCGAACTGTCAGATGGACGAGGTGAGCCGCCGATGCTGGCAACGTTGTGAGTTGATTGCTACGGAGTAGAGCATGAGATGTCATATCCATGAGGGGAAGTGCCGCCACGCACTGAGACGCCAACAGTTTATGCAAGTGGACCATCCGTCCCAGCGAAGTGGGGAGTGCTGTCAAACCCACGTTGGAAACATCGAGCTCCACAGCGCCGGCACACACAAATGCTTCGGGGACGGTGCTTGCGAGCGGCATGATCGTGACGACGGTGACGTGAGCCAAGGTTTGGACGACTTTTTCCACCACCGCTGTCGATGTTGTGTGGAGCTGATGTCCTGAAAGTGCCACCGTCGTCATTGTTTTGGCTCGTGTCATCAGGTCTTGATTGATCTTGTCCACTTTTGCAATGGTATTTGCTAACGTTTCGCACAGTTTGCCACGTCGACAGAGAGCATGAGACGCCGCCAGGACGTCGGCCCGTCGAGCCAGAAGGGATTTGTAGTGCGCCATGGCGTCGTCGTCGATGTCTGCATGGCGACGGGTCAAGAACCCCCACACGTTGTCTAGGGTAAGATGCAGAGTGACGGAAACGTAGAGAGACTTCAATGCACGTACCCAAGAACAGTACAAAGTCTGCGTCCGAGTCGAAGCGATCGCTCTGCACCCGATGAAACTGCATCCAGGCGAGTCGCGTCATTGTCGGCGCCGTGTCTGTGGCATGCCGCCATTGAGTTCGCCAAATTATGAAAATGGCAGAACGGAATGGCCTACGTGACTGAAGCCAGGCTATGACGGGACCCGTGTCGGGACGCGATTGTTTGAGAGCTTCCACGTCGCGGACCATGGAGACAAGTTTTAGGATGCGCAAGACACGGTCGGGATGGCTGGCGTTGGCACTTTTGTTGTCCAGTGCCGCATGGAGCGCGATCGCTTGAAAAACGTTGCTCAGTAAAGTCTCGCGCGAAGCAGCTACGGTTTGAACCAAGTGCAGAAAGACATGCATGTCCACAGAACTGTTTCCATCCGTATCGCAGTGCGTGAGCATCAGCATGACGTGGTGCTTCGAGAGCGACGCCACTTCTGTCTGTCGCCCTTTGTCCAAGGAGTGGCCTGGAAAGAGCTGTGCCAGCACGTCGGCTTGCGCGTGAAATCGATGACTTGATTGAAACATGGCGTCGAGTTGCGGCGAAAGCGATGAGTTCGACATGATCGATTGGCGGAAAGCGCGGAAACTTTGGTACAAGTCGCGAAGATACATGGTCGTCCTGTCCTTTAAAGCATCTCGGAGCAACTGCAGGTCAGGTTGAGAAAAGTCAAAGGGAAGAGCGACATCGTTAGAAGACTTGATCAATAGCGCTTTCGTGTCGTTGTCGACTTGTGTTTGCATGTGCCGTAGCGACTCGGCATGGGTTTCGCCAGTTAACCATGCCTGGATCGTCCGGCACGAGCGAGATGCTGCGCCTGGGGAGATTCCTGTCAGAGCTGGTGCAATTGTCGCAGCGCCATCTGCAGCGGTATGGTGTTTGCGGTAGAAGGTTGCTGTTGCTTTCTCGAGACGCTCTCGTGGTCCGACTGCAGTTTGCGGCCGTTGTGTCGGGGACTTGGTACCTGAGTGGTCCCTATACGAAGCATCAGGACTGCTCACCGCGCAGGAATGCAGCTTACGAGGATGCAAATTCGTTTGCAGCTCGGATTGCTTCCATCGCTGCAACCTCTATCGCCGTCGCCATCGTTGGCGGCAGGTCCGTCTTGGAGAGTAAAACTGCCGTTGAAGTTACTCTGCGATTTGCATGGCGGGTTGGTGGATTATTATCCAATCAGCGCTAGTGGTATGAAAAATGAACGTGGATTGGTAAATTTTTATCCAATCAGAGTTTGCTCGGTTTCTTTTCACTGTTGCGTGACAACTCGGCGACCATGTCGGGCGGCACGACGGGATCTTGATGGAGGTAGTGCCCGCCATCGGCCAGGATTGTGTCACCCGTGATGTAGGCCCCCGCGGAAGATACAACGAAGACGACGACTTGACCAATTTCGGCCTTGGTTCCCATGCGTCCGAGAGGTACCACTTGAGACACCATGTCCTCCATTCCACCGGACAGCTTGGCCATGCCGGGGGTACCGGCGGTGGGGCCAGGTGCGATTCCGACAACTCGAATTTGAAAACGCCCCCACTCGAGCGCCAATGACCGTGTCAAACTGTCCACGGCAGCCTTCGCCGCGGCTGCGTGCACTTGATACCAAGTTGCATGACGGTGAAGGTTCGCACTGATGTTTACGATCACCCCGTTGTTGTTCTTGAGAGCGTGAAATGCAGCAGTGCTCATGTTGAAAGTCCCCACCGCATCAATGTCCAAAACTGTGCGGAATGCGTTCGTAGACAGGTTTTCCGCTGTGCTGAGAAAGTTGCCCGCCGCGCCATTTACGAGAACATTCAACGTGCCGTACGACTTCACGGCAAGATCAACTGCGGCACGGGCATCTTCTGGTCGACGGACATCCCCAGCGACGAATTTGGCATCAATACCGTCAGACGCGAGCACCCGTACTGCCTCCTGCAGGACTGTTTGTCGCCGTCCCATGATGACGATCTTGGCGCCGTGAAGTCCAAGCTGACGGGCAATCTCTTGCCCAATGCCAGATCCCCCGCCAGTGACCAACGCGACGCGGCCGCTGCATGCTGTGGGAGCGAACGCAGACATGGGTGCGATGCTCGATGGGGACTTCGGTTGTCGTGAAAGCACACACAGCGGTTCCTCATATAGTGTAATGATACGCAAACACACAATTGCAATAATTAGTGTGAAATTCTATATTCAGTTTGGTACTGTATTCATTGTATTCCTATGTACAAATATTAATTAGTGTG